CTAGTGACTTTCAGTTCTGCCCCCAGGTGTGCATGGTTCTCACGTACGAGCCTGTGAAAATTTTTGGCGGGTAAGTTGCTAACTCGAGGACCAGAAAAGCCTACAAGCTGAAATTTTAAGGGGATGTTTCTGACAGTCCTGGTGGCAGTCTCAATTCTTTTAGCTAGAAGAATCTGCCGAAATAAAAAAAAAACAATACCGTTCGTGGCAAAAAACTGCGAGGAACTGTGCAAAAAACGCATTTTCGCATCGGCAGTCAGTGTGCTGGGCAATTATTTTGTCCTGGCCATCTTTGGGGTTTTTGAATTCTGAGCTGTTTAAAACATCTGCATAACGGTAACAAAGTCATCGTTGTTTCAGCGCGCATCATCGGGCAGCACAGAGAAATGATGCCATCGGGATTTCCCGGTCCCAGTAGTAGCAGCAGCAGCACTGGTGGCAACAGATCAAGCAGTTCAAAGCATCAGCAACAACAGCAGCAGCAGCAGCTTATGCAGTCTGTCTCAATGCTACCACCACCGTACAACTTTTTGCCGTCCGTTTTTGGGCAAGCATCACCGCTTGATATGTCATTCCTCGGAGCCGCTGCTGCCGCCGATCCCGTATGTGTTACATTTTCATTTTTTCACAATTTTGCCCTGTTACTGCATGTTTTCTTACAGATTCGCATAAAATTATGCAATACCTTGTTCTACTTTGTGGTCCTCCTGGGCCTCGGTCAACTCGCGCAGCCTGGCATGTCCACTTTTAGGACGGTCATTTTTTGTTACCTTGTTCTTAACTAAAAAATTTTAGAGGTCCACGACCCGTCGAACGTTCTGCTGTTTCATTTCTTTTAAAATGCCTTCTGCCCGTCTTTTTCTGCCGTAATAAGTTCCTGCGCTTCCTAGCCTCTCGTTGGTTCAATTCCCGCTTAAATCCTGTTTTTGTTTTTCACTGAATCAGAATGGTACGAAGTATTTAAGAAAAACTACTTCTCGAGTGAAATCCATAGTAATGAGGCAACACGCTGGCAGTACTTCGGTAGTAATATTATTATATTTAGACCCCAGTAATGGGTTGAAATTTGATCCAGAACTTTCATCTGTTGAGCACTGCTTTAGAAGCACATATCTGACAGCGGTCTTCGAAAAAGTTCTGTAGTACAGTAGTTCAAGTTAGATCGAACAGTGCCGTGACTTTTTATGCTTTTCCATAAGCAAAATGCTTGGAGTAAGCTCGAAATTTTCTCGCGCGCATGTTTCGGCAAATCGTCTCGGCTGAAGCAAAGTTCGATTTAAGCGGGGGGAGGTGTTCTGCAACAAATCATAGAAATAATTTGCCTGTCCTAATTGTTTTCGTGCTAATACTGAAGTTGTAGTAGTGCATGACTAACCTCGTTTGGACTAAGTGTAGCGAACTAGATTATTTGATGTTAGGGCACAGTACCCTCTGTCGTGAACGGGGCCTCTTTTCAAAAATGGTCGTGGACTGGTTGGGAATTGAGCCATCTCCATTACATCTGGGACAGGACTTACTATCCACTAAGCCACCGGTCCCGGTGTTGTACCCAGGGTCAGTCTGGCTGCACATCTACTGTGTATCTGCCTTTCTGTTTGGCTACCTCTTGTAGGCGGGATATTCTTTTTTGTGATAGCTTCTTCTTTGCCGACTTTTTTATATGCCTCTTGTAGATGGTATATGTCACCCTTGTTGCCACATAGTGCGTATATTACAATTGAGGGATTGATGAACGGCACTGTGCGATAACTGGCACTAATATTTGTTGTTGTGCAAGATCCCTGCATCATTTCACAGCAAAATGTTTCATTTAGGCAGTGCAAGCAATGTATTTGAATCAAATAGCCGCAATGCTTGGCCAGCAAGGTGCCGATTCTGCAGCCGGATCTCAAACAGAGCAGCCAGTTTCAACACCCAGCGACGTGGTCACATCCTCATGCAGCGATGAACCGTCGCCGAATACACCTGTGGATCATGGCGAGCAGCAGCAACAACACGACCAGCAAGCAGCAGTTTCGTCTGAGTCGGCGAGCAGGTTTGAACACTTTTTGAACTCCCCCGTCTGAAGAGAGAGCAAAGTGTGAAGTTCCAAGCAGGCTAGCCCGAAAATTTTCCTTGCTTCTGTCAACGACTGTGTTTTAGTCCAGCAAAAGTTGGTGCTATTGGAGAAATGCCTTCAATGACGCCACCAAGCGATGCTCCCGTGGTGCCAGAAGTGCCAAATCCAGTGGATGTATCGCGACTGATCTCCGATTTCTTTCCCGGCAGCGGATCGAATGCCAGTGCTGCACTGTAAGTGTTTTGTAGAAATTGATAAAGATACAAACAATGAATATCCCCGATGGCTAGGAGATTGATAAAGGACGGAGAGCCTGAAATCTTCTGTGTGTTAATATATGCAGTTTGTTTGGCATTATAAGTCGTCTTCGGATGCACTATTATGCGTTTTGTGCTGTGTAACTACAGTACAAAACGCATATTGTCACGGGGTTGTCTGCGTGTGTTTGTGTGTGTGTGTGTCTGTGTGTCTGTGTCCCACATTTTGTCCCGCACTTTCAACTCGGGAGCCAAAAAAGCAAGGCGGCTGAGATTTTGGTACAGTGTTCCCCGCCAGCGAGTGACAATTTAAATTCAGCCTTCCCGTACCCGCGGGTAACACGTACGGCCCCGTAAAAGTTTTCGGATAAAATCAGTATCTCGGGAATCACGGGAGGTTGAAGACTGGAATTTTGTGAGCCCATGTGCTACCCAGAAAATCTGAATTCAGCTTTCCCCTGCTCACGGGTAACAAGTACGGCCCCGTGAAAATTTTTGACGAGTAAATTACTATCTCAGAAACCACGGAGTCTAGGAAGCTGAAATTTTAGGGTAATGGTTCCCTGCCCACGCTCAACCTTGCCCATCCAAATTCAGCGTTCCCGCGCTCTTGAGTATCACCTACGGCCTTGTGAAAATTTTGGCGGTTAAACTATTAACTCGGGAATCGCGGAAAGATATTCATCCTTCAAGGTTTCGAATTCAGCTTTTATGAGCTGGTGCGTGAAATTTTTAACTATTTTCCAGTGTTTTAAATATTTTTGCATAGACTAAAGTACAAAGCAGTGAAAATCATCAACAGGCAGTCGTTTGATGGGCTGAATTGCACAAAACGCATGATCGCACCGGCAAGTCTGGTGCGCGTTGCTATTTATTTTATTTAGAAATATAGCTATTGAGTTTAGTAGTACTGTGCATAACTACTGCAGGACTGCGGCAGTCGCATCGCAAAGGATGGTACCGTCGCTGCTGGAGCAGCTGCAGCTGGCAAATACTCCTCAGGATGATGCTTTTCGAATGCTCTCAGGCATGTTTGGCGGTAACGAGGGAGCAACTCCT